GCCTGTGCAATAAACCTTTGAATATTAAAAAAATAATACAATAAGTTTTAAAACTCAAATCACAACCAAAATCGGCATAGCAACGACAGCAACAACAATGTACAACACACCATCTGAAGCTCTGGAGTATCACACAGTGGATGCTTTAACTCTACCAAGCTACAGCCAGCCTTGACGTCCCTTCATCTATTCCCTGCGTGGTAGAAGAAAGGGTTCGAGATAAGGAATGAAATGGTGGTTGTCGGAATAACTACAATTTATTACACTTAAGTAATCCTTTGGGCTTTACACACTGGCTATGTGAGCAAACCCCTTTGGCAGAAAACAGCTGCACTGTAGAGCGAAGCCAAGATCAGAAGCAAAATGTTGAAGCAGCCAGCGGACCAAACACAATTCCTCTTCTACTGTCACATACTTGGATCTAATGTACTGGATACCATCACAGTCGTATATTGCTGACTAGAAGACGTCTAATGTTTTGCTTATGCTTTGGGAATGTTTATGGACTGGAGACCATGGTCAAAATGTAAAAATGCACCTTCTCTGCATTTTGACTTCCACAAAAAAGCTGGAATGTCTTACAGCTAAATCACAATGTTTTCCACAGTGGAACTCATATTTTTGTTTGTAGGAGGAAAACTGAGCTTTCCCAAACTATGATGTAACATGCTCAGGTATTACGCTCGGATTTGCTCATACAACCACAAATAAGGAAACTTGTAAATAGACAAAACACTTTTCCTGCAGAGAAAAAACACTTCAAAGTGAAAACAAGTTGCAGCATGTTCAGTTCTCACTCTCAGGGCCACTGTTTACATGCCTGGGTTAAAATCTCAGCTGTGCACTGTCTACCATTATACAGCGTGCTTATTTCTACACCCTGCCTGAACCAGAACACAAAACATAAACAACAGAAGCACGATGTCGACAGCAACAAGGCAATCTGCAGAGCTTCACTTTTTCTAGTGGCCTTTTAAAACTCCAAAACTCCAAAACATGGGTGTGCACTCAAGGATTAGATGATATTTAACCCAACAAATGTTTCCTCAGATACAGTCGTCCGTAAACTAATATTTAGTTGAACAACCCTTTGAGCCAATCACTGCAATCAAGTGTTTTCTGTAACTCTCCGTCAGACTTCTGCACCTGTTGACAGGTGTTTGGATTTCACTACTCATCAGCAAAGTGCACTAATTAGTTTTGTACTATTTTTTAAAATTATTCTTATCAACCACAATTCAAAAGCAATGTCTTATTTCACTAAATTATAATTTAGAAAATTTTTATTTATTATTACTTTTTTCAGTTTCTAGTTATTTCAGTGACTTTTGGGAATTTTACCTTTTCTTTAATGGAAGGGGATGAATACACGTGAGGCTGAGTGCGCATGCTTATAAAGGCAATCAAGCATTCATTAGTTCAGCTGAGGCTCACACATGGTCACAACCACCAATCAAAGGA